CCCGTCGCCACAGCTCCTGTACCACCGCTGAGCGGCTGGTTCACCGGCTCGGCTCCTCAGCGAAAACCTGAATATGCGCTGCATCTGCTGCCTACTTATACTCACGCTGTGATCAGCAGCAGCTGGATGCAATAATCGCATGCCAATGTGCATTGGCTCGTTTAGTTTACACTCGAAGTAGATTGGTCTCTCTAAGCGAGATCCCAATTTGTCGGTCATCCGACGTGACGTCTCCGTTCCCTCCTTCAGGGAACGAGGGTTACCATACGTAACCGAGACGTTTACTGTATAGAATAGTTAAATTTCCATTATCTAATGTACTGGTACTGAACTGTAATTATACTGTATGTGTAAGTATAAAAACCCTTGTAGATCATGATTGACTCAGCCAGTGCCGATCCTATACTTCTAGGGGCCCTACGCAAAACTGGGCGGTGGAGTGGGGAAACGCATTTGTCCGTGTTTCACTCTGTCTCAAGTCGCGCTCTCGGAAAGCGCTTGAGAAACAGTGTCTCTTCCGCAGCTCGGTACACTTTCAACTCGTTTTTTTAGTCTCGAGCAAGACTGTATGGCATTCACATTACATGATTTGACTGATTTTTACATAGAAAGGGAGACAGCGCACCGCATTAAAAGAAATTACCATTCATGTTTTCATAACCGCTGGCCAAATTCAAAAACAAAACTAAAATTAAATAATCTTTGAGATGATCATTCATGTTTTCATAACCGCTGGCCAAATTCAAAAACTACAACTAAAATTAAATCATCTTTGAGAGCAAGAGGGCCCCCTGGTGTTTCGGAGGCCCTACGCAGCTTGTGTAGTTTGCGTATAGGAAGGATCGGCTCTGGACTCAGCTCTCTCCTCTCTCCGTTGTTAGGATGCAGAGATTCTGATTGATGTGTCATCAGTTTTGCTACCTAATGTTTAACTTACTCATTGTTAAACTTTTTGAGAAATGTGTCTTTGTTTTGAAAACTGAATTAATGGTTTGGAAAAAAAGTGCCAACTAAAATCAGTTATATTAACAATCGAGAAAACTGCAATACGACTAGATTCTTTCCTAATTCTGCTATTAGTTTCCGTGATCGGCATCTTCTTATTGATTTCATGTTATTGCTACGGCTTATATACATGATGAAAGTGGAGCGAGCGGTCGGAGAATCGGATCACCAAACAATTACGCGATGCATCTCAGACATATCAGGATGGGATTAGATTTCTCAAAGGACTTCTGAGTTAGCTGAGAAGCAGTAATTATCTGATTCACGAACAAATGTATAAACAATTCGTTAGTAGTGAACTGGGCCGCGCTTTGTGGTTTTGACTCCGGTTCATAAGTGTCATTTGTTAATGAAGCCGACTACACTGGCACGCTGCGTGCGTGTGCAACCATCGTGCACAGTTTATTGAAAGACGTGTTTTTTGCCATTATTTTGCGTACTCTGTCATCGCCGCGGCTGAAAAGTAGCACATGAAACACTGCTTAAATTTATATTTTATTCTGTGATAATTTTGGGGTGGCAGGTGGGGTGGCACAGCTTTTTCTTAGGGTGGCAGTTGCCACCCCGGTAGATCCGACCCTGTTCCCAACGAACAATTGGAAGTGACTAGCTCTAATGCCTGTAAATATCGCAACATTAGAGGCCTTTAAAACACTAGATATCTGGGCCAAGAAAACATCTAGTTTAGTGCCCAACAGAGTAGTATTTACAAGAGTGTCAATAGAAATTAATACCAACATGTTATGAAATATACAGTACCAAAGGATGTTTACACATTCAACAGCAAGAGTACAATGTTTATTAACAGAAAATCATAATTAAATTTATATGATGGATATGATTACACTGGCAACATCAAAATATTCTATTTTAATCCAATTTTAATGTTTTATCAATTTGTCATTAGTATTCAAATGAATGTGAAATGAAATTAAGTGATCCCCATAATCAGACCAAATGTAATCTAAGTGGGTGATATCTCAAATTAATTTTTCAAGTATTAGCAATTATAGTATGTGATTAATTGATTTTACTGGGATGGGGTCCTGATTAACCTGTTAGGGGCTATTTTATGATCAGCTGACTCTACATTTCGCCTTATTAAATTTAGCTAAGATATATGATCAAAACTGCATAAATATAATGCACGAATTAATAAATAATCATCTGATGATCTGTTTCACATGGTCTTAGTACACACACTATGTAATGTTGGAATTATGAAACAAAATGTGACCCTGGACCACAAAACCAGTCATAAGTAGCATGGGTATATTTGTAGCAATAGCCAACAATTACTTTGATTAGTAATATGCATTGCTAAGGACTTCATTTGGACAGCTTTAAAGGCGATTTTCTCAATATTTTGATTTTTTGGCACCCTCAGATTGCAGATTTTCAAATAGTTGTATCTCGGCCAAATACTGTCCCATCCTAACAAACCATACATCAATGGAAAGCTTATTTCAGCTTTCAGATGATGTATAAATATCAGTTTAAAAAAATTGTCCCTTATGACTGGTTTTGTGGTCCAGGATCACAAATAGTAAAATAAAGTAAAATATAATATTGTCAATATTAGAATAAAAATGTCTCCCAAAGAGTATCTTAAATTACATGCTTAGTTTTAGAGACACTGTCACATCATATACTGTAACAAAAAAATGAAGTGAAGGAGGATTTTATGTAAATCAAATCACAATTAATTAAACTTGACATCCCAGATTTTTTATTTATTTATTTTTTAAATGGTCACACTTTATTTTAAGATTCAATTCTCACTATTAACAAACCATTAATTATGAATTTTGCCTCAATAAACTCATAATTTGCTTCTTATTAAAAGTTAGTAAGGTAGTTGTTAGGTTTAGGTATTGGGTAGGATTAATAATGTGCTTTATAAGTACTAATAAACAGGCAATATGTTAATAATAGGCATGCTAATAAGCAACTAGTTAATAGTGAGAATAGGTCCCTATACTAAAATGTTACCAAAAAAATAAAAAAATAAATAATAATAATATACATTCATTTTCACAATGCTTTCTGAGTCTATGAGAAAAACCAATATCCCTGTGATGGCAAAGCTGAATTTTCAACATTTCCAGAAATTATTCTAAAATACTGATTGAAATATTTCTCATAATAATCAATGTTGAAAACAGTTGTGCTTCTTAATATTTTTTGATACATTTTTAGGATTCTTTGACTAATAGAAAATAAATGAATACATACATATAAACATTTAGTCATAACATGTCACACAAGTATTTGCTGGTGGATAAGGCCCTGGTACGCATCATACTTTTACCTCTCAGACCCACCGTTCAGAAGTGTTTTTGAAAGAAATTATAAAAAAAAAAATAGTAGGGCTGTCAGTCGATTCAAATTTTTAATCTAATTAATTACACGATGTGTCAATTAATGAATCTAATGAATCACAAATTAAATTTGGCTGTGAAATTACCCACAAAAGATAATTTAAAGCCATTATTGTGTTAAATGAGAACGTATCAAGTAGATATTACAAATTTCTGTTTCAAATGTAACACGATATTAACTTATTTACTGAACTGTTGTATAAAATCACATTTGCACTCGTGTGATATTGCTCTCGCTGCTCATGTGATATTGATGCTAATAAGCAACTAGTTAATAGTGAGAATAGGTCCCTATACTAAAATGTTACCAAAAAAATAAAAAAATAAATAATAATAATATACATTCATTTTCACAATGCTTTCTGAGTCTATGAGAAAAACCAATGATGTCATCGTACAACTTACACATAAAAACTGCAGTAGTACAAAAAATCAGATTCTTTCCATAACCAATTTCCACCTAGATGTCGCCATGTGTTTGTCCAGTTCTGCCACAGCTGTTACAACCATAAAATGCACAGTGCAGTTCAATTTCCCACTCCACCATCTGATAGTCAGAAATAGGAAACATCCTAATTGCTCTGCCTCTTATGAGAGGAACTGACATACACCATGATCTCATTCAAACTCTCATTAACCTCAGATGCTTGCCTTGAGGTACAAGGACCAAACACACTTTTAAAACCTATTTCTACTCTATACAGCTCTGGCGTTCACCCATAAGCCACATTTCTGTCATTAGTGCATAAAACTGAAAACTACTCTTGCACAATGGATGTTAAAATGTGCCATTCTTGTTAATGTTAGCTAGGACATTTATTATTTATTTTAAATTTACTGCACAAATGAATCAAGTTTCAGTAATAAAATAATAACTTGTTTTTAAAGTAGTAAAAATGTTTATTTTCCAGGCACAAATATATTTTACTCACTCCACAATGCATTTTTACAAACAATTTGTGTTTTGTATATTTTGGATGTTTATGTAAACTTTGAAAGAACCACGGCCACAAACTTCAATGTTTGTGAGAAGACGACTTAAGCTTATGCATTTTAAGTCAACAGTTAACTTTAACCTTCAAAGGTCTTTCTGAAAGTTACCAAAGACCACAATGATCCAGAAAGACGGCTCCTCCAGAGCCACTCTACTGACAGCAGGTGGTTTTTATCTGCCAGACTGAGAAGAATAAGCTCATGGAATAATTGAAGAAAAGTCACTCTGTTTAAACAAGCGTCTGAGGGACTGATCTACATCACCCTGAAAATGCTAGTTTACATGGGTCTCACTCTTTCATTGCCCCTCCAACTCTCACATCTGCAGAATCTCTCTAACTATCAACGACTTCCAGACATAATGCAGTCCATGCAGCACCTCCCCAGTCAGGTATAGCTGAGGTACTTTAGCCGAATTACTGATGATCCTCCATTTTTCCACTGGTAATCAAAACTCAGAAAAAAAAGAGCAGAGTTAACCACTTCCAGGAGGAGTTTTTGAGAAAAGTACACTGAAAGGATGAAGGGATAAAGACTTTACCTCCAATGTCTTCTTTGGAGGATACCAGACGAGGTGAGCTGTTCCCAGGCTCAATCTTCAATGATAGTCTGTACAAAAGAGTTGTGACAGGGTTATAGTCAATAAAATAATATCATATTAAGACAACACAATTTTTTGACAACAGAGTTTAGACTTAGTAAGTTTCTCTCACAGTCACAGTATTCATCTGTATCATTATTCATCATTATGCTTATACATAGAGTTGAATAATTGTGTTTGAAAAGGACACTATTATGGGAAAAGATAATACTGATTTTTTTTACAGAAAGAGTATAGTTTTTGGAACAAAGCACAAAAACAATAACTGTAAAATGACGTAGGGTCGTGAAAGTTGGCTAAGCTAGTTAAGGTTAGCATTTGCTAGTTAGGCTGTGATTTTCCATTTTGCACTGAGCTTCGCCCCTTAATATTCCCCAAAACATTTTAAAACTGGGTAATGTTTGTGTGTGTGCACAAATATTAGGGTGCGTAGTCCATATAGCCGCGAATGCTCTGCATACCCAAGTGATTTTAGAGAATGAGTTCACCAGCTGGCTAATATTAACATTACTTTAAATGTACTATGAATCAAATGAAACTGTATATTTTCAAGTTTTCTCAAGCAAAGCAAATTTCGATTGCAACATATTTCAATTTTACATTTTGCACTTTTTGTCATAGACAAAGAAACAAAGTAACACATACTTGAGCAAATTCATCAAGGCAAAAATTCATTCAGGTATTTAATTGTTCTATTTGTTTTCCCCATGCTTGACAAATCTTGCATGTATGATGAGAGTGTGTGTATCAGAAATACAGGAAAACTGCAATATTGTGAAATAATATTACAATATAAAATACCTGTTTTCTATTGTAATACATTTTAAAATGTAATTTATCCCTGTGATGGCAAAGCTGAATTTTCAACATTTCCAGAAATTATTCTAAAATACTGATTGAAATATTTCTCATAATAATCAATGTTGAAAACAGTTGTGCTTCTTAATATTTTTTGATACATTTTTAGGATTCTTTGACTAATAGAAAATAAATGAATACATACATATAAACATTTAGTCATAACATGTCACACAAGTATTTGCTGGTGGATAAGGCCCTGGTACGCATCATACTTTTACCTCTCAGACCCACCGTTCAGAAGTGTTTTTGAAAGAAATTATAAAAAAAAAAATAGTAGGGCTGTCAGTCGATTCAAATTTTTAATCTAATTAATTACACGATGTGTCAATTAATGAATCTAATGAATCACAAATTAAATTTGGCTGTGAAATTACCCACAAAAGATAATTTAAAGCCATTATTGTGTTAAATGAGAACGTATCAAGTAGATATTACAAATTTCTGTTTCAAATGTAACACGATATTAACTTATTTACTGAACTGTTGTATAAAATCACATTTGCACTCGTGTGATATTGCTCTCGCTGCTCATGTGATATTGCATATCATATGATATAAATATGAGACAAAAACTCATGGGCATTTTTTGCCACAATATCTTGGAATTTTAGGCCATAACTGCATTTATGGAGATTTTGCCCTCCATCATATTTGTCAACAGTCATCTGTATGAAATGTAAGATGACGTACAGGTCTGTGGGTGGGGTCAGTGCATTAACTGCATTAAAATATTTTAATCATGTTACTTTTCATAACTAATTAATTAACGCGTTAAACTGGCAGCCCTAAAAAAAAAAAGCAACAAAATATTAGGCACAACTGGCCCTGTTTTCTGAAAACAACTTCTCTATTCAAGCCCAGCTCCACAGAGCTCTCTGTAACAGCGGTGCCAGATGGCAGGACATGCTGTAAGCATGGGCTAAGGATTTTAAGACTGTGACCCAGGATCGCTGAGGTTTTCCAACCCCACAGACTGCCAGACAATGATGTCATTCCCCCAAACACAACCATTATACTGCAGTCCCATCCATTCCACCAAACCCATCCTCCTCTGGCGGCCATGTATCCTTTGGTGTTGTCAATTCACATGGACAATTTCACATGGAGCTCAGTCACTGTCTGAATGTCTAAATATGAGCACTTAATAATATGGTACAATAAATACACTTTCATAAATAGCAACTTTGTTGGGTTGTCTTTTGTACAATACTTTATTTTAGTGATCTTTTAACTAGACACACTATATAAAAACAACTGAAGTTCAAGAACCAGATAAAGATTTAAGAAAAATAATTACAAACATCTTTATTTACACCATCCCCTTGATACGCACTACATCTTCGTGACATGTTTTTCGTTATGGTACAGACTCCATGTAAACGTTTATCTCTGCATGGCCTAGTTTCACTTGAGAAGTTTCACCTGATACTGAAGTAAGCCAGGCGAGTAATTTTTTAACGAAGCATGGAAAAGAAGTGTGAATTATGTCACTTTGCCAAAAAGGTGCCTTTCTTTATTTTCTCATATGGAGACGTGTTTGAAAGCTTTACCAGAGCAACAGCTTTAACTCATTACTGTCGCCAGTCAGAAATGATTCAGTGAGGAAAATTACACCAAGGCAAAATAATCCAGCTTTTCTAAAATGAAACAACTCAAGATCTTGATATATCACAGTCTCTACTGAGTTCCAGCCTTTTATCTGTCTGCATAAATCAGATTAGAATAAAAATATCGCACTTGCCACAAAAGTGGTACATTTTTTTCTTTCACGTGACACTGAAAAAATAAGATAAGATATCTGCATTGACCCTTAAAATGGTGATTTTGGCCCGTTACATTTCAGAGGTCATGACCTTCTTGAATGTATCCAAATGAATACATAATCCAAATGAATGTATTCAAATAATACTTTGATAATTTGATATAAAAGCATAAAAGCTTGTGACACATGGGAAGCTTAACCATTCGATATGTATATTGTACAAGTTATTGTACAATATGCATATATAAACCTAATTTAGGGAAAACATAAATTTGTCAGTAATTACAAACCAACACTTGGTGCCAAAACAGCAGTTTAAATTACTGTAGGTTCAATTTTTTTTTAATGCATTTTTATAAAATTATAATTATTAAACAATTATAAATAAAAAAAGATTATAAAATATCTTATGAATGTCTTCAACACTTCAACACACCACTTGAAAGAGCCACCTAACTGAAAATTAACTTTGACATTTCCACATGGAAACAGTGGAAATATGGGGATCCAGAGTTTTGCAATTCCTGATGTTGCGTTCATAAGTGTCTAGACGGCAAGAAATTGGACCGCAATAAAACCACCTGCCCTTTCTGTGAGACAGACAGACAGGACCACACAGTAGGAGTGAAGAAAGCTCCGGAGGAAACAGGGAAAACTCATTTAATAATGATGAAAACATCAATGCTATGCTTGTCTTTGTAGAGGCAGAAAGCCACATGTATGCATAATACATAACATGTGCAGCATGTAACATTTCCAAAAATGATACTATTTTCGAAATCTCATTCATAACATTCATTTGTCATACCACACCACATAGCAAAATTTTCAAAAAACCATATTATATAAGGCTGTACTAGGAAAATACATTATGGGCTTCACATGTTTATGAAGCCTGAGGTAAAGGAAATAGGGATTATATTGTAGCATAAAGTCATGCCAAGTTGGTGCAGCTGTCTCCGGTAAATTGGGTGTTTGGATGGCCTGTGGGCACATGTTTTAATAAATAGTATAGGCAGCTGTGCAAAATGAAGTGTTAAAACCAGGGAGGGTCTCGATTTACGGGGGTCTTACAGATGTGGGTAGTTTAAAGTGAAAGCTGGCATAGACGTTTATGAAGTGCAATAAATTGCAGGGCAGAACACAAAGCTAAAATCACCCAAAACAATCAGTTCAGCTAAATAAAGGCTACTGAGCATTGCAATGTGTTTGGGTAACTTACGTGTAATTGTCATCCTCCACAAACTTTTGGAGCTCCTCGATGTAGCGCACTGACATCAAATACTTCTGCACGTGTGGTAACATGACTAAATGATCTGTGGGGCGAAGAAATGTGAAAATGCCATTTAAATTCTCACATCAATACACTGTGTTCAGGTTTATAATTTAGATTTCCTTTTTTCTTTTAATGAGATCTGAACATTAACATGAAAATGTACATATACATGTACATAATCAATTGAAAATGAATATGGTTTCTGAAAGCAACTTACCGTAGTTACAGGACACCTGTAGATCGGAGATGATGCGCAGTAGATTGTTCATCTGATTGGTTCTTTGCTCAGTCTCGATGATGCTGTCAGAAGCAGGGTAGGCGGAGTCAATGTAGGTCATATCAAACAGGTAAATTCCTAATGTAAACAGAGAAGAAAAAGTGTTTATAGACACAGGTAGAGAGAAAATTTTAACACAAAAGGTGAAGCTTTAAATACTTTTCAGGTCGCTTTTAAACTTTAAAATTATGCAAAAGCACCAAAAAAAAAGTATCATAAATGTAGTTAATACAGCTTGTGCATAACATTCCAAGATTCCAAATTCATTATTCCTCTCCAGTAAGCTGCATGTTTATTCAGCATGTTAAAGAAGATCAGGACAAAAGAAACAAAATAATTGTTCATAAATATACATATAGTCATATGGATTTATATGACACTTATGGTGTTGTTTTATCAGTTTTAGGACACTTTAGATTAGGGAACACTATTAAATATTAACTAGTTGCTTATTAATGTGCATATTACTAGCATATTGGCTGTTTATTAGTACTTTTAAAGCACATATTAATGCCTTATTCTGCATGACCATCTAGATCCCTTAAATCTAAACACAACTACTACAACAACAACTACCTTACTTACAATCAATAAGAAGCAAATTATGAGTTTATTGAGGGAAAATGCTTAGTGTATAATAGTGAATGTGTTCCTACAGTAAAGACTTTTACATTGTTACAATATTTCTATTTTATATTTTATATATAAATGCTGTTCTTTTGAAAATATATACATACACCGATCAGGCATAAAATTATGACCACTGACCAGTGAAGTGAATAACACTGATTATCTCTTCATCACGACACCTGTTAGTGGGTGGGATATATTAGGCAGCAAGTGAACATATTGTCCTCAAAGTTGATGTGTTAGAAGCAGGTAAAATGGGCAATCATAAGAATTGGGTCAGAGCATCTTCAAAACTGCAGCTCTTGTGTGGTGTTCCCGGTGTGCAGTGGTCAGTATCTATCAAAAGTGGTCCAAGGAAGGAACAGTGGTGAACCGGCGACAGGGTCATGGGCGGCCAAGGCTCATTGAAGCACGTGGGGAGCGAAGGCTGTCCCATGTGGTCCGATCCAACAGACGAGCTACTGTAGCTCAAATTGCTCAAGAAGTTAATGCTCGTTCTGATGGAAAGGTGTCAATACACAGAACATCACAGTTTGTTGCATATGGGGCTGCATAGCTGCAGACCAGTCAGGGTGCCCATACTGACTCCTGTCTACCGCCGAAAGCACCAAAAGTGGGCAAGTGAGCATCAGAACTGAACCACGGAGCAATGGAAGAAGGTGGCCTGGTCTGATGAATCACATCTTCTTTTACATTACGTGGATGGCCGGGTGAGTGTGCGTCGCTTACCTGGGGAACACACTGCACCAGAGTGCACTATGGGAGGAAGGCAAGCCGGCGGAGGCAGTGTGATGCTTTGGGCAATGTTCTGCTGGGAAACCTGCCATCCATGTGGATGTTACTTCGACACGTACCACTACCTAAGCATTGTTGCAGACCATGTACACCCTTTCATGGAAACAGTGTTCCATGGTGGCTGTGGCCTCTTTTAGCAGGATAATGTACCCTGCTACAAAGCAAAAATTGTTCAGGAATGGTTTGAGGAGCACAACAACGAGTTTGAAGTGTTGACTTGGCTTCCAAATTCCCCAGATCTTAATCCAATCAAGCATCTGTGGCATGTGCTGAACAAACAAGTCCAATCCATGGAGGCCCCACCTTGCAACTTACAGGACTTAAAGGGATAGTTCACCCAAAAATGAAAATTCTGTCATTAATTTCTCACCCTCATGTCGTTCCAAACACGTGAGACCTTAGTTCATCTTCGGAACACAAATTAAGATATTTTTGATGGAATCTGAGAACTCTCTAACCCTCCATAGACAGCAATGATATTACCACGATCAATGCACAGAAACGTAGCAAGGACATCGGTAAAATAATGCTTTCGCTGAACATAATCAGCGTTGTTCACGTTGAGTAGACAGCACGCGCATGCTGAACGTAAACAACGCTCATTATGTTGATTACGTTCTGGGGTACTCTCCAAAATGGCGGAAGACGGTAACTCGGGGAGAAGAACTGCTGAATAAATTATGTTATTATTGTTTTCTTTGTGCACAAAAAGTATTCTCGTAGCTTTGTAAAATTACGGTTGAACCCCTGATGTCACATGGACTATTCCTTACTACGTTTCTAGACCTTAATCTATCAATAAGAAGCAAATTATGAGTTTATTGAGGGAAAATGCTTAGTGTATAATAGTGAATGTGTTCCTACAGTAAAGACTTTTACATTGTTACAATATTTCTATTTTATATTTTATATATAAATGCTGTTCTTTTGAAAATATATACATACACCGATCAGGCATAAAATTATGACCACTGACCAGTGAAGTGAATAACACTGATTATCTCTTCATCACGACACCTGTTAGTGGGTGGGATATATTAGGCAGCAAGTGAACATATTGTCCTCAAAGTTGATGTGTTAGAAGCAGGTAAAATGGGCAATCATAAGAATTGGGTCAGAGCATCTTCAAAACTGCAGCTCTTGTGTGGTGTTCCCGGTGTGCAGTGGTCAGTATCTATCAAAAGTGGTCCAAGGAAGGAACAGTGGTGAACCGGCGACAGGGTCATGGGCGGCCAAGGCTCATTGAAGCACGTGGGGAGCGAAGGCTGTCCCATGTGGTCCGATCCAACAGACGAGCTACTGTAGCTCAAATTGCTCAAGAAGTTAATGCTCGTTCTGATGGAAAGGTGTCAATACACAGAACATCACAGTTTGTTGCATATGGGGCTGCATAGCTGCAGACCAGTCAGGGTGCCCATACTGACTCCTGTCTACCGCCGAAAGCACCAAAAGTGGGCAAGTGAGCATCAGAACTGAACCACGGAGCAATGGAAGAAGGTGGCCTGGTCTGATGAATCACATCTTCTTTTACATTACGTGGATGGCCGGGTGAGTGTGCGTCGCTTACCTGGGGAACACACTGCACCAGAGTGCACTATGGGAGGAAGGCAAGCCGGCGGAGGCAGTGTGATGCTTTGGGCAATGTTCTGCTGGGAAACCTGCCATCCATGTGGATGTTACTTCGACACGTACCACTACCTAAGCATTGTTGCAGACCATGTACACCCTTTCATGGAAACAGTGTTCCATGGTGGCTGTGGCCTCTTTTAGCAGGATAATGTACCCTGCTACAAAGCAAAAATTGTTCAGGAATGGTTTGAGGAGCACAACAACGAGTTTGAAGTGTTGACTTGGCTTCCAAATTCCCCAGATCTTAATCCAATCAAGCATCTGTGGCATGTGCTGAACAAACAAGTCCAATCCATGGAGGCCCCACCTTGCAACTTACAGGACTTAAAGGGATAGTTCACCCAAAAATGAAAATTCTGTCATTAATTTCTCACCCTCATGTCGTTCCAAACACGTGAGACCTTAGTTCATCTTCGGAACACAAATTAAGATATTTTTGATGGAATCTGAGAACTCTCTAACCCTCCATAGACAGCAATGATATTACCACGATCAATGCACAGAAACGTAGCAAGGACATCGGTAAAATAATGCTTTCGCTGAACATAATCAGCGTTGTTCACGTTGAGTAGACAGCACGCGCATGCTGAACGTAAACAACGCTCATTATGTTGATTACGTTCTGGGGTACTCTCCAAAATGGCGGAAGACGGTAACTCGGGGAGAAGAACTGCTGAATAAATTATGTTATTATTGTTTTCTTTGTGCACAAAAAGTATTCTCGTAGCTTTGTAAAATTACGGTTGAACCCCTGATGTCACATGAACTATTTTACCGATGTCCTTGCTACGTTTCTGTGCGTTGATCGTGGTAATATCCTTGCTGTCTATGGGAGGGTCAGAGAGCTCTCAGATTCCATCAAAAATATCTTAATTTGTGTTCTGAAGATGAACGAAGGTCTCACGAGTTTGTAACGACATGAGGGTGAGTAATTAATGACAGAATTATCATTTTTGGGTGAACTAACCCTTTAAAGGATCTGCTGCTAACATCTTGGTGCCAGATACCACAGCACACCTTCAGGGGTCTAGTGGAGTCCATGCCTCGACGGGTCAGGACTTGTTTTGGTAGGAAAAAAGGGGACCAACACAATATTAGGAAGGTGGTCATAATGTTATGCCTGATCGGTGTTGAACTGTAAAGGAAAGAACTGAAAAATAGCAATTTTTCAGTACAATTTTTTTAAGAACAGAAGGTTTTAAGGTTTTTTAAAGAACAGAATGTCAAACTGATAGATTTAAAATACATACTAACCAATAAGATAATAGGTAGAAATAGGGTAGGTTGTATAGTTAATCACTTCACTCACTTTAAAAAAGGTCTTTGACAAAAACATTAAAACTATGACAACATGTGGGACTGTTTCTATTATTTTTTACTTTGTACCAGCAAAACCAGAATAATTTTCCAATAA